CAGAGCTCTGCCCTCCCCAGCACCAACTGCTGCCAAAGGTCAGGATTAAGCTCCACAGCCCTTGTTGAGAGTTTGTGGAATGAAATCTCCTCCAACACCTTGGGCAAGGCCTGGCTGAGCCTCAGCTCCCCTCCCTCCACGGTGAGCAGGGTGGTTTGGGCAGGCAGAGCTGTGGGACGTGACCAGAGGGCTCCCTGTGCCACCAGGATCTGCTCCAAATCTCCTTCCAGAGCCCTTAATCAGCTTCCACCTGGGATTAGCTCAAACATTCCCAGCCTCTGGTTCAAAATAGCTTTTCTTGCTTGTGGGCAAGTAATCCAAAGGGAGCCTTGTCCCCATCAGCCCCCCACCTCCAGCAAGGTTGGGCTTTTCCTAAGGCCTGAACCTTGCCTGGATCAAAATCCCAAACAACCCCAAATTGTTTTGGACTGGGAACCCAGGACTTGGGATGCACACAGGGACATTCAGAGCTGGGTTGTAACAGGGACTGATGGCAGCAGCTCCATAAACCAGCCCAGCAAAGCCTGACCTGGTGTGAGGCAGGTTCAAAGAGCACAAGAGCCCAGTTTGGGCTGAATGATCCTTGTCTGGGGGAAATCCATGCAGATCCCTCCTGCTGACAGCAAACGGAGCCAAAGCAACTCCCTGAATATCTGAGGCCACTGGGAGCAGGGGAGGGATTGAGGAGGGGAACAACAGCCCCTTGTGTGGGATGGAGCCCCAGAGCAAAGAGCTGCTGAGAACCCAGGGAGAAAATCAACAGCCCCTGACTTCCACAGCAGCCACCAGGTGGGAAGGGACCATGGGAAGGGCCGTGCAAGCAGTGACATCCAGAAACCCCTCATATGACATGGCTGGGATTTAATAAAGGACATTATTCCTGCCTCGCTGGTGGCTCCAAGCGCCGGCAGCTCCCAGCTCAGGGGAGCTCATTCCCACCAGGCTTCAGTGTTTTAAAGATTAAATTCACCTCCCCAAGCCTGCAAAGGGATTTACACTGACAGTCCCCCATTATAGCCACAGTCACAACCTCCTCCTGCAGCCCTGATAACAGAGACACAGCAGCTCAATCAGCAGCTCAAATCCTGCTTTCAGACAGAAACCCAACCCCAAACTAAAGATAACAGAGGCTCATCCCTTCAGCCACTTCCCTCCCTCCTCTGAAATCTGCTCCCACCTGGCTCCTTCCCACTGACCTGCCTCAATGCCCAGAGCAGGAGACAGGAGTGAGCAACAAAACCCTGCTGAGGATCCAGCAGCAGCCCCAACACTCCAGATAAAGCTCCCTCCCAGTAAATATATATTCTGGCTTCTCCAGAAACCAGCAGCACCTGGGGACTGGGGGAGGCCCCTGTGATGGGCACAGCTGGTACCTCAGCAGTGGCACCTCAGCCCTCACTCCTGGCACCCCATCCACAGGGATTGGGGTGCTGATGAGCTGCCCTGGGGGAGACAAAGGCCCCTTGTGTGCCAGGTAGAGATTTATATTGACAGGTGAGGTGTTAATTTTTGTGCCCTCAGGGTGGCAGTTTTGAAGCACCCCCGGTTTGTGCCGTGAAGTTCTTCCCCCAGAGGATCCTGGCTCACACAGAACTGCACCACAGTTCATCTCCAGGCAGGAAACTCCGAAAATCCCTGTGAGGGAGGGATGGAGCAAACCCCCCCATTTAGACTAGGGGAGACATCTGCCAGCACGGGGACTTGGCAAAGATGGGGAACCTGCGTCAGAGCTGAACCCTCCGGCGTTCCAGCTCCTCCGACACCGGGGCTGGGCTGGGAGAGGCCCTTCACTTCTGTCTGAAACCCACATAAAAATAGCACAATTATGGGAAAATCCTTGTCCAAGTGGAAAAGAAAACACCAGTCTGGGTTTCACGAGGAAGCAGAGCTATATAAAAGCACTCCTATAGCCTTCTGCTATTCCTGTCAGGCATCCAAAGCCTCTCCCAGAGCCCTTCTCCGAGGGGCACATTTCCAGGGGGGCGAGGTCGGGCCCCTGCTAAAGGATTTCATTCTTTTTTTCCCCCAGCATTTCACTTCACCTGATCAGAAGTTTCCATACACGGGGAACAAATGGGCTGTGGGGCAGCCCCCGCCAGGAGCAGCTGCTTGATCCTGAGCCATAAATAACAGGGCAGGCTGGAAAATCTCCAGCAGTTTTATTCACAGGGCAGTGATGTCTGTCACCCCGTCCCTGCTGTCCTTGCAGCAGCTTTTCCCTGAGCCCCCCAGTGCCTGCCCTCACAGGGATGATCCCCCCATACAGACTTGGGGTGCCCTGACTGATGGAGGGATTTAACCCTGGGGAGAATCAATCCTGGAGGGATTTAATGTATAATCAGGTGATCACCCCCCGGGACAAGGTTTGTGCTCACAACGCCCCCAGACCCCCCAAAACAGCTCTGAGAGAGCAGAAACCTGCCTGGCTGTGGGGCTTGGTAGCTTTTGGGGGCCACATGGAGAAGGGTGGCACCAGGGCTCTGTTATTTCCCCCCCGGGGATCCCTCTCTGCTGCCAGAGCAGGGTGACCCCGTGGTGACCACATTCCAGGTGACATTTCCTCCGTGCCTGGCCTGTTTCTGTGGGACATTTCTCGGTCAGCAACGGAGAGTGGCCTCGACACTATTTATACCCCACTCTGGAGCCGGGTAAAAATAACCCTGGTGTGTTTGGCAGCCTGGACAGGCTCCTGTAAATCCTCCCTGTCAGCAAGAAAATCCTCCTGCCCGAGCTGGAGCCGTTGTCCCACTGGGAGAGGTGGTGTGGGGGAAGCCCAGGGCCAGCCCTGAGGCTGGGCCTGGAGTGGTTCACCCGGGAAAGAAGGAAAGGGATCAAGTGAACCCACAGAGAACAACTGGCAGCATCCCTTCCCCAGTGCCAGCGTCCCAAAAAAAGGGCTGGGAAGCAAAGCAGGAGTGTCGAGTTGCTCTTGAACCGGGATTAAAGGCCACTGGCACTGCTGTATTTATAGTTTGTGATCATCCTCTGAAAAAACCCTCATTGTGAGGGGCAGGGTGGGACAGGGGGCACTCTTTGTGCCGTCCTTGGCCACGGGGGAAGGTCAGGGCGAGTCCTGCAGCTCCTCGTGAGGCCCGAGGAGGATCCAGCGGCCATCCCTCCCTCTCTCCATCCCTCCCTCCCTCTCTCCCTCCTGCAGAGCCCCGGGCCAGGTTTGCAGCGGCAGAGCCCGAGGCTGCTGCCGCCTGAGTCAGCTTATCTCCCCCCGCTATTAATAGGCTGCCTGGGCTCGTCCACGCTCTAATTGCAGTTTAATAAAACATCCAGTGCAGCAGCCGGGGAGAGGCTGCCCTGCGTCCCAAACAGCAGCTCTGCCCTCTGCTCCCCTCCTCGGCTGGGAATCGCCCTGGGATTCCCGCGGCAGACCCTGGCAGTGGGGCAGACCTGCGACGGTGCCCCCACCCCGAGGGGTTTGTAAGCGCAGCCCGAGGACGTGTCGTGGTTCTGGCGCTTTTCCACCTTCATCCTAAACTGGAGCCAAAGTGCTGACGTGGGGTTGGAGGCTCTTCCCAGGGCCGCTGCTCAGAGACACCCTTGAGTCGTCCCTCCTGCTGTTACTTGGATGCTCGGGGTGGGAAATACTGAGCACGAGTTTTTTCCTGGGGGGAATTTCCCTGCAGGTCTTACACAATCGGCTGGTAAATAACAACTGTTCCCACCGGGGAGGAGCAGCCAAAGGCCATGCCTGCCACTTCCCTCCATCCCACCGGTCCCTTCCCCATCCCTCCAGATCCCCAGCACCCACAGGATTGTGCCCTCCTGCCCCAGCAGCAGTTTTCAGGGAAAAGGTGGGGAAACAAGACAGGAATACTTTAATTTCCCTCTCTAAATCACATAGAATTGAAGTCAGTAGAAGAGTGAGAGCCCCAGCATCCCCATGCCTGGCTGTGTTTGGTGTCACTGTGTCCTGGGGGCAGGAACCCCGTGCTGGGCTCTGACCCTGCTGCACCTCAAAGGATGCACTGGGAGGCTCCAGCTGTGCCATCATGGGCTGGATGAGTTCCCCATGTCCTCATCCCAACAGGAACAGCGGGTTCTGGTGGAAACCAAATCCCTCCTCTTGTGCTCACACGTGTGGCCATGGGGCCAGTGCTCAGGTCTCCGCTCTCTGTGTGGAGCAGTCGCTTGTCAGGACAATGAGATGGGAATGGGGTTACACCTTTGGGCTTTTTGAGTGACCCAGCAGCAGCTCCAGAGGTTGTGGAACTATCCCAGCAACAGGAGCTCGTGGCACAGTTGGCTGAAGGACCGGCCTCACATTTTTTGGAGGTGTCCTCACCCCGAGCCCTTCCTGCCGCGCGGGGCGGGGGCTCCAGAGCTCACACCCAGCACGTCCCACACGGGCCTGGAGCCAAGGATGGCACATCAAGGTTGTGGTGAAACCAGGAACTCCAGTGACCTTGACCCCATTGGGCAAAGAGCCAACTGCACTGACTGTGCCATTGCTGAACCTGTTTGCCCACGGGATGAGCACCCACGGGATGAGCACCCACGGGATGAGCACCCACGGGATGAGCACCCACGGGACATCAGTTCACAGCCACATCTTCCTTGGCCTTCAACCACTTCCCAGAACCCTCTGGCTCCTCCTCACCTTCCACAAACTCCTCCAACCTCTCAGCTGCAGCTTTTCCTGCCGTGGCCTGAGCTCGCTCTGAGTTCAGGGCCCGGCCCCGGCCTCTCCAAAGAGGGTTAAGTTGCTTTTTCAGACACACGGTGGAATTAAGGGCACTCACAGCACTGCTGGGCACTGGCACAGGGCACCAGGACAGGTCCCAGCTGTCCTCAGTTGGATGAAGAGGGATTGCATCAGCTCATCCCAAAAAATCCCAAATAAAGCACCACTTTCAGCCTGACCACACGAGGTTTCGAGGTGAAAGCTCCAGGAATTGGAAAGGCTGGATCCCAGCTGGGAGCAGCTCTGGGATTTCGGTGGTTTGCACACAGCACAGGAGGTTAAAGCAGGAACACGGACCAGCAGCTTTAGTACTTGAAAATTTTATTTTCTCAAATGAGCACCAACACATATTGTAAATATGACAAACAATACGCCTCCCTCTAATACTGAAGAACTATATACAATGTACAAACACAGGAAAAGGTGAAAACCAATTATTTGAAAACAAACAATTGCATTTATGACTGAAGCAAATGACCTGAAAGAATATGCCAAAAAAAAAAAAATTAAAATAAGATCAAAGAAATAAAAGTATACACAATTTGTAAACACAAGAGCATCCATAGACAGGCTGGTATTGGAAATATTGTCCTTAGTTTTGTCAGTGGGGAAAAGCATTCCCGTTTCCTTATGGAGAACAAAACGAAGGATACACACAGTTGGAACGATGAGAACAGCTTGGTGGTGGTTGTACCTTACACAGTGCCATTCTGCTTGCTTTTAAATACGTTGATTTATTTTATCCTCTGCTTATTCTTTTTTAAACAGGATTCTGCCAGAAAAAAAATAAAATAATCCCTGTCTAACCTGATTGTTTCTGAGCTCTGAGGCCTCTCACCTGGTGGGAAGAGCTGCTTCCCACTGAGCTGAGCTCGGGGTGTCTCCAACCTGCTCATCCCACAGCTGGATCCCACGGGAACACGACGCTCCTCCCGAAACAAGGACGTGCAGTGAAATGCATGATCCACACACTCTCACAGACCAGTCAGAGAAATGCATACAGAGAAGATCCTCACTCGATCATCACGAGAGCAACAGGGTCGGTTCGTTCGCTTTCTTTCCTGCGCGTTTTTAAATCGCGTGCACCAAAACCGGGGAATTAAAGAGCGTGCAGCAGTTACTGAGCACTGAAAACTGCTCCTTGCTCAGCAAAACACAGTCCAGTGGTTTGTGCTGTTGGTCCACTTCGGGATAAACAAGAGACCCAGTGAATTAAAAACGAAGAAGGGGGAGAACGGGGGAGATAAAAGACAGAAAGGAGAACGAAATAAATGAACTTTACTGCCAGAGAGGTAAACTTTTACTCTAATTTGTTATGTAGCAGCCTGGTTTAAAAAAAAAAAATAAAACCAACAACAACAACAAATAAAAATAAACCTCAAAAAGAAAACCGGGATCCATGTCCAGAGACTTGTGGTTTAGTTTAAAAACAAGGACTAGTTAAAAACCTCCAACATCCCTCCTTGCTGCCCTCAAGCCACCAAGGACTGGGGGGCTGCAGCTCATGTTCAATCCTGTCTCCAGATCTACTTCAGCCAAAACTGGTGCAAGAGGAAATTCCAGGCCTGGATCCTACACACCTGATCTCCTTGGGAAGGTGTTCCAGCTTCCTCTCATCCCACTCATCCCACCTTGGGGTCTGTCCTAACCCAGCCACGCCTGCACCTTCAGCGGACAACACAGATGATGAGTTTTGTTTCCCTTTAAACATATTTTCCAACAAATACAGAAGGAAACAGCATCATTTATAAACAACAGAAAAGTGCTCTCAGGGAGGGGCTCTGAGAAAACAGCACCAAATATATTATTATTATTTTTTTAAAATTAAATATTATTTACAAAGGTATATTTCACAAGATAACGTCTGGGTTGGTTTTTTTTTTCTTGCTTTGTATATATTATCATCTGAATATTTATTACAGGGATTGGGGATTTCAGGCCAGATAATCCACCAGAGGAGAAAACAATTTAAAACTTAAGTTTTAAACTTAAGTTTTAAACTTTTTAAACTCAAGTTTTAAACTTTTAAACTCAAGTTTTAAACTTTTGAACTCAAGTCTGAGCTTTGGGGTAGACGGGGTGGGGGGGTGGGGTGTAAATTCACGGCTTGCCAGACACGAGGCTGCCACACCCAAAGAGAAGGAAAACTCACTGCTGCCCGTGTTTCCCCAAGGAATGTCACCCGTGGGAAGCAGCACTGCCTGGACAAGGAGGCTTTTCCATGGGCCACATCTCCCAGCTGGTTCTCCTGGCTCCATTCCCTCGGGGATGGGCCCCCCAGGAGCAGGGGGTGGTGACTGAGGCTCTTTGGTTGTGCTCTGGGTCCATCCACACTTCCAGGTGAAGCCGTGGCAGCCCCAGCACAGATCCCACCCCTGCTCCCAGCTCCCAACAGGTGAGTCAGGACTGGACTAAAGCCCTTCAGATTTACTGGGCACTAAACACCAGCCCCTTTCTCCTTGTCTCCCTGGGCAGAGCACTGCACCCCCCCAGGGAACTCTCGGGGTGCTGGGGACAGTCACAGCCACCCAGGTTTGTTCCTGTCACACTCCCAGCAGTGGGTGTTTCCCACCCAGCAGTGGGTGACTCTGCGGATGCTGGTGGGACAAAACCAATTAAAAGCAGATTAAGATCTCATATTCAAGCTTAGGCTGGCTGCCATTAAAAGCCTGACACCTGTGAGCAGTTAAAAACAGCCCCATCTGATGGATCACTGTCCTTTCTAGTCCCAAATATACAGATAAAACCAGCTCTCTGTAGTTCTTATTCCTCAGAGCAGTTCTTTACACAGCCCTGCCTTTTATATCACTTTTTATCAGCAGTCACTCCAAATACCAACATCAAAAGATGAGCCCCTGTGTGCTCTCCTCAAACCCATGGGATTTGGGATTATCCCTCACTTCTCCCAGCTCCAACCAGACCCCTTTGAAGGCTCTGTATCTGAGGAGACTCAAGAGCTCCTTGAAGAACAGAAATTATCTCCCACTACTCAAAACCCAATAAATTGTCTTGGATCCCCAAGCAAAGGACAGGGAAATGGGACCAGCTCAGTGCCAGAGTGAACAAGACAGTGGGCACTGTGGAATTTTTGATTTCTAGTAGGTTTTTGTCACTGAGGGGAACGTGGATGATGGAAGCAGAGACAACCAGAAATGGAAGATGAAGCAATTTTTACACAGCCACAGCAGAAGGGTGAGGGCAGAAGCCACCTCAGGCTGGTCCCAAACTGATCCAACTCCACCCACTGCAGGAGCCAGACCAGCCCCCACCTCCCTTCCCTCTCCAGGATCGTCAAAACCAGAGGTTTGAGAGAAAAAAACAGCCTTTGCTTCATCGGGTTTGGGTTTCAGCACAAGGACCCAACACTCAGATCCCCCCTGATCCCTCAGGGGCGTCTCTGTTCACATTCCCTGCCAATTTTTTAACACCAAAGGACTCTGTCCCAGCAGCCCCCCAGGCCTGATCCCCTCAGAGCCTCTCCGGGGTGGAATCCAGCAACACCAGATTACAGCTCCAAAGCTCCCGTTTCATAAGGAGTCACAAACCCCTGCACAATACTCTTTCCTTCTGGATTAAGAAAGATTTCTTCCCCCCCCCATGGATTAACCTACTTGAAAGAATTCCACAAACAAAAAGAAAATTCACTCAGAGAGATAAAACTAATTCAGTTCAATGGTCTTGAGTTATGCACCAGTTACTGGCTGGACTGTTGCAGAGCAAACTTCACATTGTCATTTATGCCTTTCCCTCTCACACACGATGCCCCTTCCCTTCCATCCACCCCGGGAAGGTCCTCAGGAATCACAGTGGAAAAATTAAAATGGGAGGGACTTATCCCCTTGCAGTTTTGCTGCCCACATCTCCCCCCTGCTTTGAACTCCCAAGTGTAATTTCAGGGGTAGGGGAAGATTATTAAGTTTTTTCTATCCCATTTCCCCCCCCATGCCTGCAGCAGGCTTCTGGGAGTTGGGAAAAGGGGGGGAAGGTTTTGGGGGGATACCTCATGGCTTGAAATATCCACCTGTGCAATTCAACCACCAGCTCCTCTGCTCCCTCCTCTCCCCACTCTCGCCCCATTTCTCTGCCAGGCTCCCACAGTTGGCTGGGGCCTGGGATTTAAGGAAAAGATCCTGTAACAGCATTTTCCTACTTGCACTTGTGAAGGATTGGTAAAACACCTCCAGGGGTGCTCAGGGGAGGCCAGGAAATCAAGGGGTACCCTCTGTTACTAAGTCTGTCCCCATCCTCCTCTAGGCAATTTCCTTTCTTGCCTCACATATGCCTTTTTTTCCACCCTTGTCATATCTTCTAAGCTGCAGCTCCAGCCTCCTTGTGCCTTGAGTGGTTTTCTCCTCCTCTCTGAAGGGCTCAGGAGTCAGGATTTGGTTTCTGCAGCTGTGCTCTGCTGGGGTGTTCAGCCCTCCCTACCCTGCAGCAGCGAGAACAAGGAGAGGCAGAGGGAACCTCTGCAGCCCTCGGGCCCTGCCCCCTCAAACAACAACTTCATAAACAGCAAACACGACACAGACTGCAACTGGCTCGTGGGGGGAACTCGTGCTCAGCCAGCCGGGGCCGGAGCGGTGGGTTGGGATGGGGAGGGTGAGGTATTTTGTCTGTCCACCGAGACAAGGAGAGACGTTTCAAGCCTTGCTTAACCAGCACTGAGAGGAGAAGCGCAGGGTCAACCTCGGATGATTCCCTCGGGGCCCACCCCCCTCTCACCTCCTCCTGCCCAAACCTCGGGTCCTCCCCCCGCACCGAGAGCTCTCCTGGCACAAATGCCACCCCAGAGCCACCGTCAGCGCGTCCTCCAGCACTGGGCACATGGAATGGCTTCGGCATTCGGGGCGTTCTCTGAGCCAGGACAGAGAGAGAAGCAGCCAGGGTCAACTCACAAACAGATACAAAGCAAAGAGACAGAGAGACAGAAATTTAGAGGCCAGTCACCAATAAAGATGGAGAAGGGTGTGAAGATGCTCCCGGGTTGCAGAGCCTCTAAATGCATGGAACCAAGCGTTCAGTCACTCTCTCACTCTTGGATATAATGTTCGGTTGGATGGCATTCTCTTACACGCTGCTAGGGCTGGGCTCTCCCACTCAATCCCAGCCATTATCCTTGATCATGTGAGCTAGTTCAATGATGTATTTGCCTTCTTTATACTTCTGGCTGCTTTCAAAAGCGTGTTCCTGAAACAAAACAAAAAAAAAAAAAAAAAGGAAAGGAGAAAAAATGAGGTGAAGGTAAATCAGAGTTATGGATCAGAGCTGGGAATGCTGGTGTGAGTGTCTGCCTTGTCTATCGAGTAAAACTGCAGGTGTGCTCCTTGGCTTTCAGGAAAGTGATGTGGGAAGAATCTTAAATCCTGCTTCTGGCTGCCTTTACAGGCTGGGAAAAAAGGACTGGCACCCTGTAAGGTGCAGATTTCTGTAGGCCAGTGGCTCCTGGAACTAAACAAGGATTTACAAATCACTGGTGATAAAACCCACTTCTCTCCAGGGAGAATTTATTACCTGGGGAGAATGCAGAGGTTCTCTGATGGAACACACTGTAAAACCACCAACACTGGGAATGGGATGGGTTATAGGGAACTTCCTGTGGAGATGGAGGAGCAGGAGAAGGACCAGCTCTGCTCAGATCCGTGGTTACAGCCATGGAAACACATGGTGCCTCCACACCACACAACTGAGAGGGAAATTCCTGGGATTCCTGATGGCCCTGACCAGGAGGGACTCAGTTATGGAGGCTGCACCCTCCACATCAGCTCAGCTCTGCTCAGGTGCTCTCCTTGCTGCCTGTAACTCACCTGAAAGGTCATTCCCTGCTGGAAAGGCCTGGGCCCACTGCTGGTTATGGAATGCTGGGGTTTGTTTACCACAAACTCAGATGATGTACTTAGTGTCCTGCTCCATCTGTGGGATCCACGCTGTGTTTCTGCATGGATTCCACCCACATCAATTTTTGATGTTTTCCTGGTCACAGCCTTTCAACTGATTCAGTAAAAAATATTTCTGTCCAGAGGCCACGGATACAAAATGGGGTTTGTTCAGACACTGGTCACAACATTTAGACAAACCAGTGTGGTGTGTGCCTGCAGGAACAGAAATTAGGAGGTAACACAAGCCTTTATTTGAAACTAATTGAATTTATGAAGAGCAGGAGGGAGGCAGCAAACGGATAAACCCGTGTTCAATAGCATTTCCAGTGGGAAGGACACGGGATTAATGGAGCATTCTATTACTCTGATAACATCTAGGGGAAAAAAAAAGGCAGCAGGAACCACATTTATCCTCGTTTATGGTAAGTAGCACTGAGGGGCATCCATCAAAACCAGGCCCATAAATGTATATATTCTTAATAATTCTTAATTCAAAAATTCCATTCAGCACAAAGAGCTGCTCTGAAGGGATGCACCGGACACAAGGCAGGAGGGAAAACGGAAAAAAGACGTGGATGTGCCCAAGTTAATGGTCTTTCCAGGACATGACACAAACACCTTTCGGAAAGGGCCGGAGCAAAGCTGTCCCCCAGGCAAAACAAACGACACTGGTACTCACATATTTCCACCCCAGCGTGGTTTTGCAGTTTTCACAGTAAATATCTGCCACCGCATGTAATCCCGTTAATAAGACCCGCTCCTCTGCAGGGCCACAGCCCACGTTAACTCTGGGGGGGGAAAGCAAGAGATGCTCCCTATTAGTGCTTTTCCACACCAAAACCCCCTCCAGCAAAGCTGACAACGATTCATTGCAGTCTATAAAAACCTTAAGCAGGAGGTTCAGGACAACGAGCGGCCCCGAAGGTCTCTCTCGCAGTTCCAAAGGTAAAAATGAGATTTTTTTTTTCTTATTCCAGAAGCTCCGAGCAGAAGATTAATAACACTCCAGGCACTCGTGCTAATTAAGCGTTTGAGAAAGATTTTCATTTTCAAAATTGATAAAAGGGTGCTTTTGCTTTCCCCGAATGGAAAATTGAAAAATGGAACTGAAATCAGCAGTTCTCGGGAAAGACATCCCGGCAGTGACCTCACCCAAACTATTTTCAGTCGCCGGGAAATTATACTTGGGTTTTATGTTAGCTCTAAAAAGAGCATATTTAGAGATCATTTATCTCTACATTTACGAAATTCTGGCTCTTTGGTCCAACTACATCCTTGGAGCAGAGAGTGACTCATCCAGGAGCTCTTATTTCTCAATCTGATGATGAAAAAAAAAAATCACCTTTTCCTCGCTGCTCCTCTGCAACCTCACCAGGAATCAAACATGAATCAGTGCTACTTCCTGCCTCTCTCTCTCTCTCCAAACGTTTCCACCAAGCTCCCAAGTGCCAGGCAGAGGTTTTTTAAGGGAAACTATCCTTTTGTTTTCTCCCATCCACCCCGGGCTGCAGGTGCCGCGTGCGCGGTACTCACACAGAATTGAAGAGATAAGCACGTCCTTGGCTTCCTTGGAAGGACTGAAAGGCAAGAAAACAAAGTTCAGTCGGCTGGGGGAGAGGAAAGAGGCCCAAGCAGGCCCTGCCCTCCATGGCTGCATCAGTGGTGGTCATGGAAACTCTGATCCAGGCCCTTGGGAAAGAGCACACGGAGAAATGTTGGGAGATGAGCATGGAGGAGCAGGGGTTTTGTCCTGCAGATGGGAAGGGAGCAGCTGCCTCAGCTCTAACCCCTGCCCATTCCACAGGTGGGAAACCACTGGGAACCACCTGGAATCACCGGTGTTTCCACACAGGAACGTGCTGCTCAAGGGTTGAGTTGTTTTTTCTATCCCAGCAATGTCTCTTTTCACCCTTTTCCACTCCTGTTTATGAACTTCACACAACTCCCCAACGTCACCCAGAGGCTGCCAAACGTTGCTTTGAATCCCTTTTCTAAAAACAAGGTGCTCACAGAGGTTTCCCACTCCACTGCCACAGCTGAACCACCCTGTGAATTCCCCTTGGGAAAGCTGCAGGGACAGGGCTGAGCCCAGCGGGGAGGTTGGGATCTGTTTGTGCACACAAACACAAACACATCCTCTGCTCCAGGGGCTCTACAAAAGACCTCACCCTTGCTGAGGTGTCTGCAAGCCTCACATTCCCACTGATGTCCAGGAGATCTTTAGGACTCTGTTCCTGGAGTTCCTGGCATTCCCAGAGCCAGCAGATTCCACTGTGCCACCTCGGTGACATCTCCCTGTGACGGTGCCTCGCTGACAAAAACTGCCTGACACCAGCAAGTGCCACCTGCATTTTTAATGCACTGTGACAAGCACACACTGAATTAAACATTTGGTGCTTAGGAGCAAGAGCACAGTTGTCTGTACACAAGTTTCCTTGTGGGATACCTCAGGGAATGCCTGCACTGAGGGGCAGGAGCTGGGAAAGTCAACAAGCAGCTTTTCTGGGCTATTTAATCCTTTATCCTGCACATCACCAAGAACTTCTGAATATTTAATGGTTTTCTTAAAAACTCAGCTGATGATTTCAGACTAAATACCCTTAAAAGGTGGGACACAGGGTTTTGAGGGGAAGGAGAAACGTGCAAGGCTTTAACTCAAACACTGGTCCTTTATTTAGTGAAGAGCAACCTCACACCACATCAAACAACCCTGGGGGGTCCCTGCCTTCCTTGGGGTGTTCCCTTCCATCAGTCCAGCCCTAGGGATGCACCCCTGCAAAGCTCCTGCCTCGTGGACAAACAAAGCCATGACAGCTCCCTCCTGGAAGATCCCCCATTGCAGAAGGATCCTTTCCACAGAGCAGTGGGCAAAAATGCCCCTGGGCACCCAGGCAGGGAGCCAGGGCCAGCAGTGCCAGCTGCCTGTGAGGTCTGCATGGCAGCAAAGGCTCTGCCAGCTACAAAATCACTTCCTGGCAAGGAATCCACTCGCTCCTGTAGGGATAACTGTTCTTCAGAGGGATCTGAAGCCCAATAGTTGCCACTCAGGGCACAGAAGAGCCACTCTGGATTCAGAGAGGATGCCCGAGGCACTTGGATAATCTCTGTCAGCCAGACAAAAGCAGTGCCCTGAGGAATGCCTCTTTTCTTGGGAAGGAATTAAACGGGACAACATGGCTCAAGCATGTTTGGGTAATTGCATTTATTAGAGAAGCTTCTTTTAATCCTTCTGCAGCAGTTCTGTGTCACTGCCATTGTCAGCTGGCTCATACCCCACTTCCAACTAGGCCTGGCCTGGCTGCTCCAAAACACCCTGGGAATTGTTGAACAGGAGGAACAGGGGCTGTCCATGCTGGAGGACAGGGATACCAGCCTGGGAACACGGATTCAGGGGTGACACACCAAGTCCCACAGCAACACATGTGCCATCAAAGCAAAAGGAAAGCAGATGAAGCTTGCTAACCATCCAGGCCTTCCCAGCAAATACTTTTCCATAAACACCAAAGGGATTGAGTTTGCCAACAACAACAACCATGGGAGCAAAGTTTTTATTGGTACAGAAATAGGATTTTCCGTTGCTGCTGCACAAAGGCCTGTCTTTAATAAACAAAACCAACCCCATCAGCTGTGCTGGGGCTCACTGGACATTGTTCCAGTCCCAGGCACAGCAGCATCCTTTCAGAGGTGCCCTTCCTTCCAGCTCAAGCCAGTGCTTTAGGGGACAGAAGGGTGGGCACTGGGAAAAATATCACATTAATTATCCCCTGTCCAAGCAGAACTTCTCAACAAACCACTGCTCAGCTCTCAGGGCTGCTGCTGTCTTAATATTCCCCCTCCAGCCAGCTGAGGATTTGGCCAAACATATAAAAAGAAGCTGGAGAAGTTTGGCAACCACAAGTTCCCCAGTGCATTTGCCCTCTGCTGACTGTATCCCTACAAAGGTGGCACAGGAGGGTTTTATCCAAGTGTTGTAACCTGAGCATTTTCTGGAGATGTTCCTGCTCTTCTGGCACTCCAGAAAAATTGGCACATGCTGTAACGGAAAGCACAAACCCAGAAAAAACAGGTATATTTATACACAAGCAGATGTTCTTGTCTTTGTTTTTGTTGTTGTTTGTTTGGGTTTTTTTAAGAAACACACAAAGACATTTCCAAAACACATTTGGTTTTCACTGAAGTGACAGCCAGACCTACTTTCTATGCTCTGCATTTTCTCTGGGTAGATTTTCCTGATACACATTCAAAGGTGCATCTCACGCACACACACAGAGAAATCCAGACTTCTTGTTCTCTGAAATAACAGCTCCTGGCATCACTTTCCAGCTGGAAGAAACAGAAAGGATCTTTTTTTGCTGTTGTTGTTTCCCACTGAAAGCCCAAGCACATATTTTTCTCTGCACTGCTAATGCTCAGTGTCTGGCTGGAAACACATCTGTAAATGCCAGCACCAAACCCCTTCGAAAAAACAACACAGGCTTCGGGGATTTGAGAGGCACAACAGCTCATTCCTCCTGACACTCACACCCAGAAACCTTCCCTGCCTTGGGGTGCTCAGCATCTCAAAGCTGCAGGGCCCAAGGAGTGCTGATCTGAGTATCCAGGTGGGAAAGCAGGAGCCTGGAGTCAGCAGTTTGGCCGGATCCTCTCCTGCCAAGCCGCCTCCCAGAGCAGAAGCTCCACGTTGAGATGCTTTGGCAGCTGCTCTGGTTTAAGAAGTTCCTATCACCCAATGTACAGACACTCATCATGGTCCCCTCAGCTGTGCTGGTTCCAAATTAGAGCTGTGAAATCACTATTTAAAAAAAAACAAATGCTTTGGGGGAGGGTGAGGGAAATGGCTTCACCCCTTTCCCCTCTCCTGGGTCCAGTTAAAGGCCAATCCCACAGACTGCTCTGTAACCACAGGATGGGGCAGACTCAAGTCCTTTGGAGCAGGGAGTTCTCCCAGTTTGCTGGCAGAGGAGCCCAGTGCAGAGCTGCAGCTCTGGTGAGAGACAGAGCAGTGGAGTTTGGGTTTCACAGACGCTGCTAAACCAGAGCTGCCGCAGGAGGAAGCGGCACACACAGCCAGGATCCAGCTCCAGCTCCTCCAGGGCAGCCACTAAGAGGGACTCAGCCTGCAAGGCCATGAATCCTGGTATATCCAGCACCCATGACCTTGGGAGCTGTTGGTTTGGTTGAGTCCATTTGTTATATTCTGGTCTCAACACCAAGTGTTGAATGCACAGCTCTGTCTGCTCCGAGCACGGCTCAGGATTCCTCGGGAGCCACTCCGGCTGCAGGGCAGGGCTGTGCCCCTCCACCACTGCAGCCTGCCCCAGTTCCACCTGCCTTCACACCATCAGACCTTTACACTTGCACATTCCCCTCCCTGGGGACGAAGAAGGGAATTTTCACACTCAATCACGGATGCCAGGGAAAAAGGCACGAATCCTGAACGCGCTCCGAACACGCCCACACCCCATCCCGCTCTCCCCCAGCACCTCCAGCTCCTCATTCACGGCACAGCCCACTCAGCAGCTCCACACACTGAACAGATGACAGGATTAATACTCTGAGTCTTTGTGACTGTATCTGACAATAGGCTAAACACAAAAAGAGCCGGCTGGAATCATCTGGAAAAATAGAAAGCAGTTGCCAGGACTAAATGGCTCCACACCGATGCCTCCTCTCTGCAGACTGCAGCAGAGAAAACCTCCACTTACCTACATCCAGCTGGCAGCCTTTTAATAATCCAATAAAGCAAAAATGAAAAGGCAACCGGTCCCAAAGAGGTAGGAGAGGGAAAAGGAACAGAGTGTGCCCCTTCACGCCACGTTCCTGAAAGCCACAGATAATTCTCCCTGCAGGGATGCAAACGGAACAGAAGGCCCAGAGCCACCTCCAGAGAGCCACAGCACGGCCTGGCAGTGTGGAATGGCAGCTCAGGGGGAGCCAAATGACCACCAGGACTCTGCAAAAAAAAGGACATGTTCTCTATGCTTGTGATACCTTCACTGGGACAGAGCAGTGCAGGAGGAGAAGTGTCTGATGAACCCCCGGGCACGGGGGCTGTGCCAGAAGAATCCACCCACCCACCCATTCAGAAGATCTGTGATCATTTATTTCCCACCATCGAGTGCACAACTTCAGTTTTTGAGCTGCTCCAGCCAGCTGCACAACACTGAATGCAAGATTTATCTGTTCTCGCTGCTGATTCGACCCTTAAACGTCCAAGGGTGAGGTGTTCCCATAAAATACACTTTGAGACCTCTAAGTAAGACAAAGTGTGATGTCAGTGCAACTGGAGTGCACATGAGTCTGTGTATGAAGACATGCCCCAATCCCCAGGCTCTCCTCATGCTCATCCCACTCCCTGGAACACTTAATCCCAATTCCTACCAGCTGTTATCCCACCTATCAGCCAACATCCCACAGAAAGCTCTGCCTCAACGGCACCTTTCAAGCCCTGTTAATTATGGCAACAATGGTTTGATTAAGAAGATTGGCCCTGCAGTGTGTTCAGAGGAACCACCACAGCAGGTGGCTCTGCCAGGAGGTTCCCTGGGAGTCACTGCACAGTGGGAAGAAAATTGGA